ACATATTTTTCTTAAATATATACATGCATGTTTGTGTATTTATATACATAATAAATATATACAGTACGCACACATATTCTGTAAACAAAATATTTTATTTTGCATGCGATTAATCGCGATTAATCGTTTGACAGCACTAGTTATAACTGACTTTTAGTTTGCGTGCTTAGGATTTATCATGGATTCCCTGCATTTACGGCCTTTACATGCATATATGTATATTCATATAATTTATATTATTTATAAATATATTTAATATAAACATAACATATTTTTCTTAAATATATACATGCATGTTTGTGTATTTATATACATAATAAATATATACAGTACGCACACATATTCTGTAAACAAAATATTTTATTTTGCATGCGATTAATCGCGATTAATCGTTTGACAGCACTAGTTATAACTGACTTTTAGTTTGCGTGCTTAGGATTTATCATGGATTCCCTTCAAAGCAACACGTAGTAAAATTCGAATAGTGTTTTTATTTTTCAAATAATAATTACAGATCGAATATTCGACTATCTGTGCACACCGCTAGTCAGCAGTAGTAATTAGAGGTGATAAAATCAGAGTTAAGTGGCTATCTTACATTCGAACAAAGAGTGACTGTTTGGGCCCCAGTCCAAGAGATGAAAACTTCTCGACCAGAGCCAGCGTGCTGAAGCCAAACTTGTGTATGGGCTCGTTGGAGTCCAGCGGAGGGAAATCTGTGTCCACCTCCCCGTCATCCTCAGCGATGTGGAGGCAGTAAGTGTTGACGTTTTCACTGTGGAGGTAAGAAAGGAGAAAAATAAGAGAGAGATCAAACTCAAAGAGTGCTGTTGTCAATGAAAGTATGTTTACTATTTCAATAAGGTAAAATCCTGTTTTCCTATTAGCTTTCCTATTAGTTCTATTTTTAAGCAACTAAGCATTTTAAAGGTTTGACAGCGAGAGCGTTTCACTCGCATCCGTGACAAAAACAGATGTGCACAAACTGTAAGCGGTATTTATGAGCACATGTGTGAATAAAAAAGTCCTGCGGATCCTTAAAAAATTAAGTTTTATGAAATGTAAGGTTATAAAATGTTTTAAATATCTTAAATGGTATTACAATCATCTTAATTACCATTTTAAGAAGCCTTACATTTGTGTATGGAAAAACGGGGATCGCAATACGGCCTAATGTGGTTATTATGTGATTATTGAACTTCAAAAGGGTATGAATTAATGAAATAAATGAGAGCTGCACGTTTTGAAAGTAAAAACACGGCACTATTACACGCTCTTCAGACTCACAGTTTCAGAGCATTTCACAATCGATGAATACCAAGCATTTATGGCAAGCGATTGCTTATGATCTAGTGTTGATGAATTACGACAGTGTTTACTTCATGGTGTTTATATTGTAATACGCTGTGTACTATTATAAGAGTACATAATATTTCTCCCTGATCTTTTGAATAAACAGCTGGCAATAGTAAAGATTAGACATTACAAAATAAGAGTCAAGGTGTAGTTCAGGCTTGTTTATAATTAGTATAGTAACTTATATATAATATATAACACTAAATCATATTATTTTGTTAATAATATAGAATAATATTATTTACTAATAGTATTTACTAAGATAAGTTTAGAAAGGCATGCAAAAATTTTATTGTTTTTATATTGTATTATATTGTATTGTTTTAGGACTTTTAATTATAAACAAGCCTGAACTACGCCTTAACTCTACATGGCCTATAAATAGAAATATTTAAAAACCTAGTGTAATTTTTTGTATTTTAATAAACGAAATATTGTAAATAAATTTAAAATATAAATTGTTTCTTGTAAATGACTTGTCGTATCCCTTTATTAAGAAAATACTCATTATTTTTTAAATTAGCATTGTGCCCCTTGCATTGCGTTTTTTTAAAGCAAAATTATATAGGTAACAAGTATCATATTTGTTAAATTTATCGCAATGAATTTCATTCATTAAATACTGACATAACTTCTGACCATTAAATCAAAACTAATAATTTCTCAAAACTACAAGTTTCGTAAACCAAGACTGTGATGTGCTCCGTTTGTGTAGTATTTAGTTTGTGTCTGTGGAAAAGTGGTTCTGAAGAACTCTTTCTAAAACTCTGGTTTGGTGATAAAAGCCAACATCGCTCTCCCGACCCTAGATGAGAACAACAGAAACATCACACAAAAGCACCCAGACACAATTTATGAGTCAGGGCATTTAAATAGGGGCTATTCATTGAGGGGCAAAAACATTGAGGGCTTGTTGGGATGCAGCCTGGCACAGAATGAGTATGAATCAAAACAGAAGCACTGGGAAGAGTTAACTTCATTGGTTTCATGGTTAAATATTTTATTATATCATTATATATAGCATAAGCTGGCCGTATTCCAGATTACTTTTGCCCAGAGCTTTGTTTTATATCATCCATCAGAAATACAAAACTAACAGCAGCCTATTCCATGTTTCATTCAGCGCAGCCGCATACATGTTAAACTTTTGTCTTTATGATATAGTTTTCATCCCTTGAGGACAGTGCCTGCGCTGGTGTTTGCACTGGGACGATTGTGTTTTAATTTGCTCTGACACTCTGTCGAAATCCAGGCCTGAGCTGTAAAGGCTAACTCTCATAGTGTTAATCAGACCCTTGATCCTGCTCGGGCAGCCTGAGGAGATGACAACTGACTGAGAGAAAGTCCTGGACCTCAAGCACCACAACGTGTCTTTTTTTGTAGTTTCAGTAACATGCACTCCTTCTCGATTTCACCTTCAAATTCTGGGCCATCCAAAACAACAGCTGTCTTTTGAATATCTAAGATCATTACCTATCTTGTCTCAAAAGACCTTCTGTCTGGTTCTTATCCCTATAAAGCCTACCATATTTGATACGCAAATTTCTAAGGCCTCTAAATTACCAACATGATCAAAATCTATTTATATGCAATTTATGCAAGTAGTCTGCTATACTGTTATGAAGACCTCATTGATTTACATTACAAGCTACAAAACATAGAAACACTCCACTGTACAATAGTAATATATGGCTGTCATAATTTCTTCACATTAAACCGAACTTTCATTTTGGCAGTTTGTCATGAAGTCTTTTGATTTGCAGTGTGTATTTGAGGACAGTTTGAGTTGTCTTATTTTTTTCTGGATTGCGTGTTCTATGATTTACCATCAAAATTGTCTAATGAAATGAATTCATAAACTACAACAATTTAATAAATCTTTTCAAATGTAATCAAAAGAAAACAAGTTAGAACAAAACTTTTTTGTCAAATAAAGTGCTGCACAACAAAACTATACAGTAGGGCTGTCAAAAAAATTTTGAATTTCGAATATTCGTCGAATTTTTAAAAGAAAATCCACATTCGAATGCAAAAACGTTGCATTCGAATTTAAAGTCTGCATCAGCCGTCAGGCAGCCTTATCAGTAGCGCACGAGATGCGATGGCGATGCATGTGTCATTGATTGCATTTGAATGCTTTTGTTAGCCTGTCCAGTTGAACCCACTAGATGCGGCGCTGCTACGTTGTTCATTCATATATTGTGGAAAACGAGAGCATCAGTGTGGAGAAGATGTTGTTTACGTCAAAACTGAAACCAAGCCGTTCACACAGAACGCATATTTATCACATTTTCTAGAGGGACATCTATCAACGTTGCACTCGCGTCTCGCAGAGAGCGGCATGTTTAGAAAGCCATGTAAAATTAATGCAAGTTCAACTTATAAAAAACATGTCTCAAGACTTTATGGCGTTTTTTCCCCCATCTCACTGTATCTCATGTTTTTAAATGAAGAAAGTAGCCTACTCTTTGTGATTGGTTTTCGGT